CCCTGGTGTCGATCGACATGCCGCACTTGTGTCGATTAACGCAAAGCAATTGTGTCGATCGAGGCGTCGCTGCAGATCGTGAGGATCGAGCCTATCCTCTCATGGCTCCAATCCAAAGCGATTCATCGATCTCCTGCACGAATTCATCAACAAAACACACAGAATCCAATCCAAACAACAGCAAACAATCATATTCCATCAATTCCTTTACCCAGATAAACCATGGTCACGCACTCACCTTAGGAAAAATGGTTATAACACACGTTTCAAATTTCAGATTAAACTGAACTCAGTGGCTCTGGAAAACTAAGACTCGGGGCTTTCCAATGATACCTAGATCGTCTTCTCGGTCCTTACAGAATGACAAAAAAACAGCCCGCAGGTTCGTTGCTCGGAACTGGAAACAGGAAATTCCAGTCTCAGAAAACATGAACAACACGTTGATATCTAAAGAACACAGACAACGGAGATTACATCAGAAACAGGATCGAAATCCTGTTCTGAAAACTAGACAGAGAGAACTTTCCACAGATAGGCGGATCGTCTCCTAAGTCTTTCTGGTTCGACGAGAATCCTCCCTCGAAATGGACTGATCGCAGACCCAAAACTGCAGAAACATCTCTTAGTAAAATGATTATAACTCTCGAAATACTAATCCAAATGACAAACCGATTTCGCCCTCGAGAGTGGAGAACTTACCCTAGAAGTTTCGCTCCAATTCGATTCGATCTTCCCAGCCGTTCGTCTCTCCTTCTAAAATCGGACATAACTGTTTTCAAAACAACAATCTCTTCTTTTCTCTCACAACCTACGAAATCCTCTCCTTTTTCTCTCCAAAATCGGCTGCAAAACGTCTCCATGCGTTTTTATATCATGCCCTAGGGTTCCCTAAACCGGACGCCAAATCACTTGTGTCGATCGACGCAACACCCAGATCCGACTCCTCGCGAGTCCAACCATGTGTGTTGATCGACACACACACTGTGTTACAATTTTGGTTCACAGGTGTTACA